TCAGATGAGCTGAGCGGTAAAAGATGTTCTTAGAGCATTAAACAGTGTAACAGCGCATAAAAATTGTAGAATTTCAAAGGCGAGTGCTTGTTATTTTCTGAGAATGCATAACCTAGGCGTACAAAGGTGCCTTAAGCATTGAAACCAACACAGACTACATTTTGAGATAGAACAAAGCATTCAAAGTGTGCGTCCGTAAACATACAAGAATTATTTTTTAATCTATACAATTTAAGGATCAATCATTTTAAATCCAATGTAGCATATTAAAACGCTTTGAAAACAGGCTTCTAAATCATGAAGCATTATGGCAGCAGTAACCACTCCAACTTAAGTCAGTGTGAATACATTCGACGAAATCAGCAACACAATTCAGTACAATGTGAATCGATTGCTGTTATCCCTGAGTGATACGGTCGAATATGAAGAAATGTGGACAGTGCTATAGCACCATGAACGGCTTACTACTAGATGCCTTTTAACTAAGTATATGAAAGTTCTGGGTAAATTAAAAAATGAATTAAACGAGCTAAACATTCATTGGTAAAATAAAGTGACCAATATTCACATGTAAACACCTTTTCAAAGCGGTTACAGCAATTCAAGCCCACTTAAAAAGGTGAGGCTTCTGCACATGCATTGGTTTACGTCCCAAAGTAAGCGACAATCCAAGTCAATGAGCCTGGGCAGCCTTTAGAAAAGTGATAACACCCCATACTCGTATCATTATGGATTTGAACGCATTCATGCTTCCTTAATATTATAGTTAATCTCATCAGAATTCTCAATTCGGCTTCTCGAAAAGATAAACAACGAGCGCCTCTAACATGTTCCTCAAACACCCTTGGAGCGGATCAGGGAGCTGCTGAACCTACCCCTTGTAAGGTCTGCAGAGCTTCAAATGGCGGGAAGCTTATAACATCCTACTTCTCACTTTCATTTTGGCAACGACAACCCCTTAGTGATGGATTTTCAGGTCATGCCAGAAAATGTTTTTCAGCAACGTTAAATTCTTTTCTATAATTTTTTAACCAAAGGGCTAAATCCTAAGCTTAGTTTCCAGACTTTAGGGTTCCGTACATGTCAGGTGTCCTTCCATTTCTCGCATGTTTAAACAAAGACTGCAAAATTGTACATTCTTTGTGTTTTCGCAAATCACTTATAAAGCAGCGCTGATCTAAAGTTACATAGGTTTGCAAAATGACTGCAGTTCCACTCGGACACCTTTATTGGACAAACGTCCGAAAACCGGTTGCTGTGATTGGTAAGAATAAGCCTCAAATGACAGCTTGTTGGTGAAGTGTGCGACATAAAACAGGACAAATCTTAGAAAAACAGATATTACAAGGAAAAAATTAATCAACGGAACAAAAAATTTGGTTTAAGGATATTATGCATAGACAGGAGGCCGAGGTTTTGTGGATTTAGATCGGGTTGCAGTTTTCAAATTCACGAACATATGGTTTGCGTCATTTACTGAATCAATATTTGTGCATGTTTACTGGTTCCCAACCTACCTGAATTTTTAATGGACTCTTAAGTAATTAAGATGCAATCCATTGATGGAAGAAACGTCATAAACTTTTAGGTGGCAGGAGACTTTCAGGGGAAACCATGTGCCAATTACATGCACTCATTGAATCCTGCATCGATTCTAATCAACTCATGAAAGTTAAAACTAAAACCTTCAGCTTTGTTAAGCTAAGTTATTAAGGTAGCAGCAGTTAATGACTTTGCAATGATCAATCGCAAGTTACACCCTAAAGGCTTCATAAGTAAACCCAAGCTACAGTTAGGGTTGCGGATTAATCAGTTTATAAACGAAAGCCATTAAAAGCATTTTAGACAAAATGTAGATACGTAACTTTCCCATCCTTTTTGGTTGCAATTATCCATGTTAAAGTTAACAAAAATGAACAGCTGATCTGAGGGTTCGTTGGAGCTGATACGACACATTTAAGTTAAATACAGATTATAAATTAGGCTTAGGCGACGGTCACATTCACTACTTAAGAATAAATGGAAATGGCTTTGACGTCCCAAATATTACAGTAAGAAAAATGGCGTGAAGTCGACTTTTTAAAAATTATCTACCAAATAAGTTTGTTAAGGTGAACCCATTCTGGTAAAAAATCTTAATCCTGTCGCAAACACACCTTGCTAGAGCTGAAACACACTGAGCAGTGAATTCAAACAAGTCTCATTATTAGCGTTCACTTAGGGCAGGTTTACCTAGATCTAAGTTTCACTTGTCTTATCTCGGCCGAAGTTGCAACTGTCGCCTCATGCATTATACTACGGACGGCTTCAAGTGAATGTTTAACAAATTAGCATATTATTACGATTAATTGCCTTTTTCAGATGGCTTTCTTTGATTTTAACCCTTAAGTTAATACTACTAATGTGCCTCTGAACTACTTAAAGAGACGTAGCAACGTTATAAAGATTTTAAATTTTATTAGACCCAAGTTCAATCAACCAATAAGATATTTTTTGCGGACATGCTGTTTGCTCAACTACAAATTGCATTGCTTACCGTGTGGGTTCATATAGGCTGCCGGTAATACGGTGTCGTCTGACTGATCTTCACTTGCTGGTCGTCTACAAAGAGTAACGCTAATTATTTTCATGTCTCAACGAGCATTTCTTCAAATCAAAAGCTTTTTCTGCCACTTTACACTAGTTCGACACAAATTGTAGTTTTCTAGTTCGACTTAAATACCTATTTCATAAACCTGGCATTTTACGAACTTTCTATGAGGACTTCCACCTACCAAAACCTCTGTTTCTTACTTTAAAGTAGACCAAAAAGAAAAGTGAAACAGTATTTTTCGTTGAGGAAACAACAAAACTGACAGCCAAAGACCTGATAAAATAGATGTCCTAATCTGCTAAATGAAAAATAACTGTTCACAAGTGCTTGCGAAACAGCATTGACAATAAAATACACTTTGACGTGGCACTGTCGTATCCGCAAACAATCGCCTCGCACTCAGTCAAGAAATTTAGTTTTCAGTAGTTTCTTATTGCATTCCTTACAAGCATTTTTATGAAGAATCCAATTCCAAATTTAGCCCAAGCCGTGGACAAATTCTGGTTTCGACATGACTATTTTCAGATGTACGTTCCGATACTAATCGCCTAATCGTTGACGCGGATTCGCCGTGTACTTTCATCAGTCCGAACGCTGGATCCTATACTCGATTGCAGAATCATCATGAATAGCCTTTCAGTGAATTATAAACATTGTTATGCATTTTTGGAAAATAAAAGGCTGCGTACTACAAGCCAAAATATCCTTGACACAATGAAAATCGCTACGAGCTGTTTCAGTAGGTTCAAGTTGTGTTCTATACACATCGAAATTATTTGCAAGTCGGATTATGACATTGTCAACTGTTTCGCGTTCCATTCATTTTCAAATGAACAAAAAATATCAATATTCTTGCCTTATTTTTACTTGAGCTTGGTAGGCTCAACATTGATGTTATCCAATAAATAATTATACGTTCACCTTGAACCATAAAATCACTAATAATATCTTATCTTTAAAATGTGGAACTTTTGAACACGTATTCCTTGCGAATGCAAAAAACACGGCAGTAGGCTATTTCTTCTAAAATTACACATGCGCACGAAGTCCGGAAGTAGTAAATATGCATTTGTACACGTTCAAGAGGCTGTTGCGGCTTGTTAAGGATTTATCGGTAGGTGTGAGATACTGCTAACGACAAAAAGACACGGATTTGATAAGGGACACAACCAATAACTGCGGGAGTGTTATATTATAATGCAACGCGCCAGTAAGTCCTACCTACTAAGTCCTGATTACGGTTCTTTAAGTGCATGGAAAATGAGTTGACGGGAAAGCACATTGAGACTTATTATTAAAATCCTGGTTAATGTCAAATGGAATGAAAATCCTTAGTTACCCCAGTTTTTAAGGTGGGAAATATCGGACTTACAAACTTATAATCAAAGGGTTTTAGTCGATTTAAATTGCATAAATGTTAAGATTAATCTAAAGTCTCAGAAGACTGTGATGTCAAGTAGTGTAGTGCTAGGGGTGGCAGCTTTGCACCTGAATACCTATCTGAAGACATTGATCCGAAGCCTATACTCTCTCAATGTACGGGTTCCATAGATGACGAATTTCGCTTTTCAAATGCATAATAACGAGAAATTAGACTTCAGCGACTCCGTAGAACATGCACACCGAAGCTCGTTTCCAACCTCCTCCCAACCCATTGAAGTCTGCCCCGTTTCCAGTAGTGTTTCCTGTCTGTAATTGGGGTTAGAAAAAAGCATTCGCAAGAAGGATACGCGATACGTCTAAAAATTCGGAACTTGAACTGTGTTTATCATGGATTTAAAAATTAACATACACATTGGATAATCTTGGGTTAAGATACTACTAAGAAGTTTCGAGGTGACGCTTTTCAAAAATTCCTTTGTCACATATTAAAATATTATTTTGCCATTAACAGTAGTTCCCATTTGCGTTAAAAAACCAGATTGGTATAATCGATCATTTCCAGCAACGCACATTCGCCTCAGCTTTGAAATAAAGAAATGAGGCGATTAAGAGGTATCCATTCAAACAAAACAGATATTCGATTACACAAGCATTTCCTCAGGATTTATCATTAACACGCGGAACCCTTCAGTAATCACAACGCAGTAAGTTGGGTTAGATAAAATGGATGCGATTGAACACCTGCTACAACACACCTAAAATCCCGTTTTGCATTTAAATAAGGTCCAGATATACATAAATCAATATTTGACGGACATGGGTAATCAAATGTTAGAATCAATGAATTTTAGCCTGTAACATGGCACATAACCAACCCCACCCAGTAAACTGCTTGCTTTATCGCTTTAATGTCGTTTCCATCATTTTATTAATAGATGTATTCATTAAAAAAATAACGGTATGTTTTACAGCTCTTAATAAAATGCAATTTCTCAATTGTAATGTTCAATTACATCAAGTTTTTTTACACACAGAGATTTAAATTAAAGTAAAAAGCGTACTCAACAACACGGAGTTGCCGTTCGCCAGCGCAGGGAAAGCAATCAGAATCACCAGTCACGTGAGCCCGGTAACGACCTTCGTCGGCTTTCATCACGTGACTAATGCTAAGCCTAGCTAGCCTACATGTCCGATTGAAGTTGTTGGAGGAAAAAAAGGCTAAAGCGGCTGGGCAGGTAACTTGTAATAAATCCTCCGAGTACTAAATACAAAACAAACAAGCGCCAGGCATTAAACCCTCTCATTTATGATTTTTTAGGAGAAAACTAATCACATTGCTTGATTTCATCAAAGATATAAGTAAAAAGTTGCTTTCTGATTAAAAATTGCATTGAAATCAAGAAAACTAGATTAAAGGGAACACTGTTTTATATATTCACAGTGATGAAAATAGTGAAATGATCGAACGACATAACAGTTTGTGGACGAATAAAATCACAGTTATTTAGAAAAAGCCACACAACGAATCGGTGTAAAAGACGACAACACGCCCTCCAATATGAGTTAGATAATACATTTATTGGTGAAGGCCACTAGCATAAAATACTAATGGGATGATTGGAATGTTACCTTTTAATCTAGGTCCCAGTTATATCTTATTTTAATATAACTGGTACTTATTACATTGGTTTTTCAAAAAATGCGAACACAAATCAGTGATAAAATCCTTTAAATTCATAACTGAAGTGCTAACATGGTAAAATGATAAATATGCAGTAAAATTTGCATCAGGGCAGCAAAGAGTTCACTACTAAAGACACGCGCTTTGCTTACCCTTGATCCATGGTAGCTAGTGTTGAGACGAAAAGCTGTTTTGATTTGTTTGCTGTTTAATAAGGCAGATGGAAAAGGTAAAAATGTCCACTGTATATTGACTAATTTGGAATTCGGAGAGTGAACAAAAATGAAATCCAAATTGGCCCTTTTTCCGACGGTTACAAGAACGGGATGAGCAAAAACATGGCAAATATCTGAAAAAGAGCACAAACGTCACTTATCTACAATAATTTTATTTTGAAACAAAAGCGAAATTGATAAATTCCACCGCTTAGATTTTTTTCAAGTCCAAACCAATTAAATTTTAAGCATTAGTTACCATTGAGCATTAGGAATATTTCAACCTATTAAAAAGGGAGCACAAAAGTATGAAAACGCTGATGAGTTATAAGCTGCTGACTCTAAGCACCACGCTTAATTATTTCATATTTCGAATTAAAGGTGGAGAGCTTAAAGTAAATATTCATTTTTATGGAATGATACAAAAAAACTTCGTAAAAACGCAAACATTTGTGCAAGTAAACCTTTTCCCACTGACAGCTGACGCGATAATTTATTGTAAACAGTGATTAAAAAGAAGCAAAATAATTGAAAGTCAGAAATAAAAATACTAGTAATGACCGGTTGTGATGCACAAAAGAAACGTAAAACAGCAGCAAAAACGTACTGAGATAAAAAAAGGTAACGAGAAACAAAAAGCGGAAATGCATTCGCAACTCAAGCTGTTTAGATGAACATCTCGCATTACGATAACTCAACAAATCCCACCCGACACTTTGAAAACTTGCTAACCCTGAGGTTTGGAATCATGTTAAACAAAGAGCTTCTAGTAGAATATTTTGCAAATGCTTCAAACGAAAAATCAGGCATCTAGTCACACTTTTAAGCAATGTTTATGCATCTTAATATAATCATAATGTTTGCCTTTCATGAAAACCATCCAAAATTAAAGTTAGATCCATTTTTTCTTAATTATAAATTTTTTGGTTATGAGTGCTGTTACATAGACTCAATAAATGTAAACTACATTTCATCACATCTTACACAGATTAGAATGGACTTGCTATTCATTTTAACATATAAATTAATATTATAATGCAAGTGAATAAATTTTTTCTAATATATGTGTCATTGAAATTTCAGGCGCGTTTAGTAATGTCAAACAAAACGATGAAAACTAAAGCAAGTTTCTTGCATTAACTGTGGATAATGCTGCAACTTACAGATGGGTGTAAAATATAGGCATAAAATATAAAGGGTACTTTTTTGACGTCAATGCAACTATTTGGATTACTCACTTTAGTCCTCCAACGAATGTTTGCAAATTCTAGTCTTAAAAAAACAGACTTATCTTGCATTTGCTCGCTTATTTAAAAAAATCAATTATACCTATTTGCAAGTGGATAAACTTGGCTTGCGAGTTCTACCGTCAAAAGTCATGGCAATAATATCAGAGATTATAGCATCCATTCTTTCTAGCAAAAGATCGTAGCACACTTTATAAGGTCGGATTTGATTTACGACTATCTTCAGGCTTACCATGGGGATACCACTTTCCCAGTAAAGCTAGCCTAGGGACGATATTGCTTTTACAAGGACGAGAATTAACCCACCTGTGACAACCACTATTTTTGATGAATTAACGTAATTATGGAACGTTAGCTACCGTTAATAGGTAAAGCTTGATTCCAGGCTTATCTAGAGTCAATAATTCATTCTCAACTAATATTCGTCGAAGTAAGGGATTGCTTGAGAATCGCACTCATAAAAACTAGGACACTTACCGAGCTGACCTGCCATCGACGCCTTTCCTTTCCCAATGTTACCGGTATTTAAACTGCAGATTTGCAAGGTAGTATTTTTCGCGCAACCCAGCTTACATTTTTTTATTTCTGTCCAATTTTGAGGCAGCAGAACAATTTACAAGCATTTAGTTAGCCCGACTTTTGGAAATGTAGGGAGAACAATGTTATATCTAAAGTATTTTGTTGTGATTTTCAGGCTTGATTGTTCGTTTCATCAGTTGATTGAGGAGCCAAAAGCTATCCCTTTAATTTACAGATGACTAAACCGCCACCAAGAGCTAAGCGCCCAAAAGCGTAATTTTTGAATCCGTCTTACTAATCTCACGATGCAGTACTCTAGACGTTTTAAGACTACTTGAAAAACCTCTGTCTGTCATCGCCTGCCTACTCTTGGCTTTTACACTGTGGTTTTCAATGTTACGGAGTTAAAATGTGGGACAACCCCATTTATGGTTCAAAAGTGGAAATTCCCACAACTTCTGGACAAAAAAATGTTTCAAACATGAGAATTAATACCAATATCCAATTCTGTCGCTGTTTGTTTAATTATGGTTATATTACTACTACCAACTTAAAGATGTACTTGAAATGAAACATAATTATCATGCATATAGACGCATAAATTAAAACATAGGGGTGTCACGCACGCCGCACTCCAGGACACCAAACTCTGTTCATGCCTTGTAACTTCTTCCCTTATTTTTACTCTTTTAGACCTGACCAACAATTAGCGTATGGATCGTCTCATGTTTTCCGAACTCCATCATCCAGTAAGCCCTCTTCCTTCACTTTTCGTCTTGTAACTGAGTTTTGAACTTTTCCAGATGGTTCCTCCCTCAGTTCCACGGTTTGTTACAAGTGTACGGCTGAATTGTGCATCTGGCGATGATTCACCTGTAGTCTATCTCCTTAGGTCAGATCTCTGCTTGCGAGTTACATTTTGGAGGCCGCGATACCCACTAGTAGGCATACTTACCACTAGTGTTTTGAACCCACACTCGCCATCATCTCTGTCTTTCTCTGTCCTTAAACATCATAGGTTGACGGCGCAACCGAAAACCCAATCTTGGCTGTACTACCGTTGCCGGCGATTCCTCATCCACTGTAGAAGACCATCCCCCCCCCCACGAAGAATCCTTCACACAACTTAAACAAGCACTAACCGCGGTCCCCATTCTGATGTTCCCGATTCTAGATCCCAAGGCTCCACCATTCATCCTGGACACCGACGCTAGCAGCCCCGCCATAGGCGCAGTCTTATCCCAACGTGGAACCAATGGCGCAGAACACGTCATAGCGTACGCAAGTATGGCCTTAGATAAGTCCGAATGGAATTACAGCACCACCAGACGTGAATCTTTAGCTATTGTGGCGTTCACTAAAAGTTTGCCGTGTACCTGGAAGGGGAACCTTTGTGATCCGATCCGACCATCAGGCTCTCACCTGGGTTAACTGGCCCGGTGGCAGCAGCCTCTAGCCGATTTCGACATCCGATTAGAATTACGTTCGGGAAAGAAACACGGCAATGCAGACGCCCTTTCTTGTCAATCGATTTCCAATAACCCAGGCAGCGTTAATGTCATCACAAAACATTCCAGCACTACGAATTGGGCGAAAATGCAAGCCGAAGACCCGGATACGGCTCTAATCTACGACAGGCAACTTCACGGCCAATACAAACCCTCAGTTAAAGAAATGAATGGCCAAACCCAAGGCACCCACTCCATGTGATCCTTCTAGAGCAACCTCTTTCTCCGCAACAATGTCCTTTATTTCCAATATGACACCAAATCCCCGGTTCGTCTGGTAATTCCACAATCAGTAGCACTCGCTACCCTCACTGACCTTCACAATCAATTGGGCCATCACAGACAAGACAAATTGGACAAGACAGCTTGCCAACGCTTCTGGTCACTAGATTGAGGACGTGAAGTTTGCCTTGTCGGTTCCTCGTGTGCCACCTGTTTTCAGCTAAAAGACTCCAATCATCATCCCACGGCTCCGCTTCAAACAATTCCCTCGGGCTACGTCAACCAAAGAGTAGGTATCGACATTACGGGCCCATTCCCACAATCCCGTCTCGGGAACAGGTAATTATTTGTCGTGGTCGACTTTTTTCCAAATAGGTGTAAGCGGCTCCCCTTTCCGATTAAAAGACGCCTACCACTGCCGATGCCGTCACGTCCTCCTGGATTCCTCGATTCAGGGTTCCTGACTCCAACCATTCCGATCAGAGATCAAACTTCCAAAGTCGGCTTTTCAAAGTACTCTGTAAGGCTATAGGCTGCGTGAAAACGCGCACAACGCATAAAGGCCATATGGGTAACGGTCAAACTAAAAGATCTCACCTATGCGAATTCAATTCCACTACCAAAAATGACAGCTGAGACATGCTCAACCCACATTTCCAACTCGCCTACAGATGTCTACTCCACCAGTCCAATGCATTCTATCCTGCTCATTTACCGCTCAGGCGAGAAATACAAATCAGCAACCATTTAGATTCCCAACTACAAAAACTTAACAAAACAGGTTCACAGAAAATAAATTCACAATCAGCAGAAATTCAAAGCAAAGTCCGTACACAGGCTCACGTCAAAAAACTCGCGTTAACCTAAAGAACACACAAAGACACGTTCATAAATCAACTCAGCTTCATAAAGAAACTACAAAAAACACAAATACCAAATAAGGTTCTGCAACGAGACATCCAAAAAAGGCCTTCGCCATTTCTCCACGCTTCTGCATATCTGGTCACGTCTTTCAGCTCAAATCAACACTGTTCCACGACACTGAGGCAATGCCATCTTTCCTGAAACGCCCAAAAGCATACGCACACAAAATCCGACTTACCGATTGACTTCAGCACCTGCCCCTCCAACAGCATATTTCTTTTTAAATCTGAGCAATCGACTTACATATCTTCCAGCCTCGACGTGCGGGTAGTGTGTACATTGCCACGTCACCACATCTCCACCATTTCACCTGCAACACTCACACAACACACGCTTCTCCTCCACCTCCGCATCATCAATCAACGACTAACCAAATGATTACA